CAGTAATTTCGAAGTTAATACTATAGAGTAAGCATTTTTGAAGTCTAGCTTTCAAAAAAATTGCTGCTCCAAATTGGATAATTAACATTCACACGCTTCCTGTTTCACAGATTGAAAAAAAAATTGGTGAGGAAATACATTCTTTCTGACATGCAAAGATACTGTCGCACTTTAATATATATGACCACAGCGCTATTAGAAAAACTTCGGGGTTGATTGGAAAAAGTTTGACGCCGCACAAACCAAATAATTCGAAATCTCTTAGGAGACGCTCTCAAATCAACAAACTCCCCCGCGAATGCGCCAATGAAACTATCTGAAGCTTTCCTTGAGAAACATTAAGAAAACCTCATTGCCACCTCATTTTGTTTGGTTTAGTTAAACTTAATTGATAAAGAGCCGTCTGCAAATGGTGCTTCAAATTTGATCATTTTTGATCAATTTCGTAACGAAAGTAACGGAATATTTGTGCTCGGGCTGGGTTTTTTTCTTCAGAAAAATTTCGACTTTTTAGCTAGTCCATTTTGACGGAATTTTTAAAATATCTTTCAAAAGCTATTGTTGTCCTGAGCTTAATTTTGAAAAGATTAGCGCGTGAGCGGAGATTGAATCCAACTTAGAAATAGTTCCAAATTGGTTCAAGGAAGCTTATATGCCATAATTGTTTTCTTAATAGGAGCAAAATCTATCACTTTGTATTTTATATGGCGTGTGGGGGATGATTTTCACAAAAAAAATCTCAAATGAAAAAAAAATTCGTTTTTTTTATTGGGGTACGGAAACTAATTATTGCAGAGTTTTTATCAAAGCAGGTCATTGAAGCGGAAGACAAAACATTTGGGGCAATTTGAATTTTTTGACAGAGGACCAAGCAATAGAGATCTCTCTCAATGAGAACTCTACTTCATCAAAGCTAAAATTCCATGAATTTGATTTAAAATTGTCTTTAATTTCCATGAAATTTCGATATAAAACTTGTTTATTGCACCCCTTTGTTCCGACCAATTGAAAAATGGGGAGGAATTTTGTATTCGGGTGCGTTTTAGTTTTTTTTTCTTTTTTTTCTTTTCGTTTTAAACGCAAAATTAGCTACCACAAAAAATCATCGGAACGGGTCGAGTGAAATATCATTTTAAAGCCCATAAAATTGTGATTTGGAGCACATTAATTTTTTTTTAAACCTAAGTGTCGGGAAAAACCGGTTTGAAAATTTTCGTCTTGTTTCGACCGAATAAATCGAGCGAGCAGTCTTATTTTAATTGCCAAGAAACTTACATAAATTTTACTTGATACTTGAATAACGCTACTTTACTTTGAGTTTTTTAGCGCCTTTTTGGATTCAAAATTTAAAAAAAAAAACCAAAAAAACTACAAAAATTTTTTTGATTTTTTTTGTTTTTCTAATAATTTTTCTACGATTTTTTTTTATTTTTGTAGCTTAAATGTTGAATCTAACTACTCATCAGTTTTCTGTCTAGCTCTTTTTATCACACCTCGCCGAAAAAAAAGAACCTCAAAAAGAAAAAAAAATTTTGTGTTTTTTTAAGACTTTCATGGGAACGTTCTGTGCTAATTGCAAAATAATCGGCTATTCTTGTTTTTTAAGGTTAATTTTCTACGCAAAGTCGGGTACCACAATTAATCATTGGAATGGGCCGAGTGATATATCATATTAAAGCCCTTTCAGTCGTGATTCTAACGACATTAAATAGTTTTTATTTTTGGTCTTATTTCCAGCAAAAAAATGCGAGCGAGCATGCTTACAATAGCCTATTTATGCTTAATTTAAGCCGCAAAAAAACTTAGTTTTAGTCGATTAAAATCATTTTTTTGGTTTTTTTCAGCAAAATTTTGGGAAAGAACTGAAAATTTTTCTGTTGTCCCATTTGCCAATGACTGTCGCGTATGCTTATGTTTTAGTTTTTCGTTCATATCCATTTACCACACCACGCAGAAGAAAAAAAAACGATACTAAAATGAAAAGTACTTTTTTTTTTTTTTTCATTTTTAAGACTGTCGTCGGAACATTCTGTGCTACTTGCACAGCAACCGGCTATCTTTGTGTAATCCTTGTGCTGTTTGTAGGAAATTAATGAGATTGAGGGCTAGGGCGGATTTTCAAAAAATTTCAAAAATTTATCGACTGTTTCTCAGGTAGACCAAATTATTTTTTGAGCTATCTGAGAAGACTACAAAGACCCCGTTTCGACTTTGGCACTTTTAGGCGTTTTTAGACACTTTTTGTAAGGAGCAGAGCTTTGGAAAACTTTCAGATCGGTCAGTCAAAAATAAATCTTGTAAAACAGTATTCAATAGAAGACTCTTAAGAAAAGATCTGAGAGGGCTCAACAAAAAAAAATGCTTACATCATTTAACTTTTTAAAATAATTTTAAAAATTTTTTTCTTCAATGATCAATTTTGATGAAATGAATTAACTTGTCAGAAGTTTTCTTTCAACCATGAAAATAGTCGTTCTGGCTCCACGAGGAAATCAATTGCAACCACTGTCTTATTCTCCTAGATTATTTTAATGGTTTGTCTGTTTTCACAACCACTTTCAAATTTTGAGATTTTTTTTCTCTTAACTTTTTTGCTGCCTAAAATTTTTTGAAGTAAATGTTGAACATTTCGGGGTATTTTGAAAGAGTCTAGAGTTTTTTTTCGATTTAGCTTGTCATTTTATCTTTCCATCCTTTTTTGCCTTGAAATATGAAAATATTACTTTATATGAATTAAAATTATATGATATTCTAATGATTTAAACCAAAAATTGAAAAGAGTCTCCACTTGAATTTTATTCTTTATAATTTTTTTGATTTGTAAAAAAATCTCTTTTACTGAGGAACCGTAATTTTGTCTGCATCAATACTCAGACGCAGATTTCTTGCCGGCCAAAAACGATTTTTCAAGCTTTATTTTAAAAACTTTAACCAAAAAATCACGTGTTTTTGGCGTGATTTTGCCCTCAAAACTAGTTTTATTTGGTGCCGAAAGCGCCTTCAGAAAAAATTTGAGATCAGTCTGCCAAAGATTAATGATAAAACAGTAGCAAGGGATTAAAATAGTACCGAAGGTAGCACCATCAGGTGGACAGGGGTCAGAACTCATAAGATTGGCCATAACCAAACCCCACCCCAACTCCGTTACTGTCAAAACTCATAAGAAAAATTATATATTTGAACACCTATGGTACCATATCAGCGCTTTACAGGGCATTGGATATTGTTTTTTCATGGTCTAGAAAAACTCAGAATCAGAAAGTAGATTTTTTTAAAGTGTATCTAAAGTTTTTCAATTACTATTTAATAAAAGTGGACAAACTTTTTTTTGACTAATGCTATGCAAATTGTTGAAAAATATGGTTGTTTCTATTTTGACTGTTATCAAAATTTTCAAACACTGTTCAATTTTCTGCATATATCGGCAATTTTGAAATAACTGTAGAGAAAAATAGAGCGCTTAAACTTAAGGCTCTAATCGACGTTTGTTGAGGAACTAGAGCCAACTTCGAAAACTTTAACAATATAAAGATTTTGTTTTGACAAAAATTTCTGCTTCAAAATTTCACAATATTTTTGAAGAACCAAAGTCAAAAAGCAGTTTTTGCGGTCGTTTTTTTGGAAATTTTGGGTTCGTTTTTGATCGTGAGCGCCACATTAAAATAAGTATGGGGTGGCGCCGAAGAAGGTTCTTGAAAAATATTAAGCTTGGTCAGAAATAAATGTTATGAATTAGTACCAAAGGGAGATGCGAATTGCAATGAGATATTTCACATGTAATTTTTGTTTAAGAATAATGTCGATTCGAGTTTTGCCAATTTGGATGATTTGGGCTTACAAGGGTTCAATTTATTTCGTTCTAAAAAGTGTTTTATTTCGTTTGATTTCGTTCTGAGAGTGATCGTCGTATCAACCCGACTCAGTAAACATTACAATTTTACGTTGGCTCTTTTTTTGTTTTTCGAAAAAAATTCTTTTTGTTGCTAGTACAAGTGCAAACAAGTTTTGATAAGTTTATTTTTAAGCTTATTGTTCCCACTTTTGTAAAGAAAGTAACGGAATATTTGTGCTCGGGGTGGGTTTTTTCTTCAGACAAATTTCGACTTTTTAACTGACTATTTTTGACAAATTTTTTTTTATCATTCGAATGGTATTGTTGTCCTGAGCTCAAATTTGAGAAGATATTTTACCTGTGACCATTTTTTGTGCAAGGTCATTGGGTTTAAAAATTACCATTTTGGCTATTTTTGGTCAATTAACGCGCGATATATTTCGCGCTATTAACGCGTAAGCGGAGATTTATTCAGGCTTGTAAATCGTTCCAAATTGGTTGAAGAAAGCTTATTTGCCATAATTGAGTGTTACTAGGTAAGAAATCGATCACTTTGTTTTTTATATGACTGGTTGGGGGATGATTTTCAAATTTTTTAAATTTATTTCACTACATTTAATTTTTTCATATATTGCTCCATTTTTGCTCCATAGACCTTAAAAGGCAGTCGGAACATTCAGGGCTTCGTCCTGATACGAGCAGTTTTGTTTCTTTTGTTTCGCTTATTCTCAATAGATTTCAAAACCGTCAAAAAAAGGAACTAAATCAGCAATTTTTCATGCAAAACAAAATTTTTGCCCCCCCCCCCCCCCCCACCCCAAACAGACCAAGTTAAGATAAGATCCTCCACCCCCAGAGTTCAATTTAATTTAAATCTACATAGCGCTGCATGTAAAATGCTCCATTCTGATTGGCTGAAAATTCGAACTCAGGCCATGTTAACATCTTCTTCCTCCCTAAACGAATTTTTTTTTGGGGGGGGGGGAGGGGGGGAGGATGTTATCTTGGTTCAAATATTTCAATCGTTTTTATTCATCTCTTTTTTGTTGTGGTTATTAATCAATTTAAACAGGGGCACAACAGCAATAAGCTGTACAGCTCTTGTGTTGGTCCTTTTCCCCCGTTGATAAATGGTCTTAATCTTAAAAACAGATTTTTATCTTTTTTTATTGTTTTCTTGAATAAATCTCAAATTCTCTAAATATTTAAATGAATAAATTATCTCTGGATCATATGCTAGTCACGTATTTATCTTCATGCGTTTAATATTCGTGCTATGAATTATGATTAGGGACAATATATACAAAAACAACTTCAAAACGGTCCTTAAGAAGTACCCCTAAATTCTACAAGAGTCTAGAATGTATAAATAAATTATTCGATATCCTCTTTTTGAATAACATTTTGCGACAACATCATCAAACATCGGGTTGAAAGTCGCGGAGATGTGTTTAAGCAAACAGCCACAGAGAGGTAATCTCTTTCGTTCGCATTTTTACCAAGGAGCATGTTACCCCGATTTAAAAAAATGTTTTTTTTTCTCTGTTATTGGAAGCTCAGACTCAATTGAAGAACTTGCCGACAGAAAAAAAACTAACAACGTTATTTTAACGTCATGCTACACTTGAAGGCTCAAACTTTTTGCCTCAGTGATTTTTTAATTTCCTTATGGTGCTCCAAATTTATTAAACATTCCACAGATCATACAAACGAATTCTATTTTTTTTCTTCGACGAGACTCTTAATGAATAATTCATAACCTCGACAATTCATAACCTTCAGACCATGATGAGCGGTTTGAACGCTCGTGAAAAACAGTCACCTGTTTCAGCAATGAACTTTTCATCGGTTCTGTTCACTTGCTGCTACTTGCACCTGGTTGTGTTGGCGATGGTCTCATTGGGCGTTCAGGACTCCGAAGCCAGCAGTAAGTATAAATGATATTATATTAGTATTCTAATTTTCTCATCGGCTTCTATGAATACATCAAACCTTTCATCAAACCAGAAGCCGATCTACGATTTTGGAAAAAAAATTAAGCCGACCAAATTGATTTTAATAGCTCGTTCAAAGGCCCTAATTTTTCAATTTTTTTCGAAAAAAAATAAACTCTACAAAGGCCCTATTTCTCCAAACTTTTCAAAAGATAAACCCTACAAAGACCAGGCCCTATTTTGGCCCAAACTTTTCATAAATAGACGTTGAACAAAGCGAGCGAGGCGGTGCTTTAAACATTTTATCGCGGGAGTTTTTGAAAAAAGAAATTTGGTTGACCCGAAGAGCTCTTCTGAAATGCCAAAACAAATCGATCATTTTTTTGTCGATATCTTTTTTAGGTTGACCTATTTTGACTTAAATTTTCTGCGCCGCAGACAAATTAAAAAAAAACAGGCAAAAAGGCACTTGTAGGGTCTTTTTGGAAAATTTTGACCAACGAATCGCGTTTTTTAGAGCGCGCTCCCTCCTCTAACTTGGTATGTATTGACGCAAAAGGCGCATAAGAAAAACTTTAGGGTCAGTCAGCCAAAAATGGATGTCCCAAAATAGTACAAAGGGGGACCCTTTGGGTCGGCAGGGGGTTTAATCCCTGAGGGAGGTACCCCACCCCCCCCCCCTTATCCGCTTCTAGCCCTTTGGGTGGCGAGGATTTCCTATTCTTGATGGTGGGCTACATGGACATCGTTTCATTGTAAATAAGGAAAAAAATACATCAGAAAACGTGACAAAAATCGACATTATTTTGAAATGTTCTTTTGCCTAACTTTTTGGGCAAAAAAAATTGAATTATTACAATGGTATTGAGATCGACACACCTGATTGAAAATATGAAAAACATTGTCAGGCCCGTTTAACTAACAATTAAAAATTGAGAGTTTGTGTTGTGTTTGTGTGTCATAGAAGGTGCGAAGGATTTGATGCGGGTGCTGTTTGAGGAAAGGGAGTACAACCCAGCCATCAGGCCAGTGCTCAACAACAGCGAGCCAGTTAATGTGGACGTGGACCTAGCCATACAACAGATCATAAATGTGGTAAGATAACTTTTGTTTTTGAAATTTTTTGTATGTTCACCCAAATCAGGGTAAAAATTGAGTATGCCTTAAAATTAAAGTTAAAACGAACTAGAAAAAGCGATCTTTCAAATCTGCAATTACGTTTTTCACACCTATGCTTTTTGTCAGCTAATTTAAAAGAGTTTGCTTTTTAAAAATATATATAATTTTATTGCAATAAAAATGTACAATTGAACCTTAAAACTGAAATTTAAAAATTATGAGCCGTCGATTAATGACATCTTTCTAATTTCTTGTTTCAGGATGTGAAGCAAGAGCAGATAACTGTTCTTTACTGGCAGCGACTGGTTAGTATTTCAAAGTACTTGTTACAAACTTTTTCAACAAACAAGAGCAAAAACTTTTAGTACCAATAGCGGAGAACGTTCCGAGCGCAAAAAATAGAAACTACGAAAAACACACTTTTCTTTAAATTCATTTTTCATTTTTTCAATTTTTCATTTTTTCAGTTATTCATACTTTGTCGGCGCCAAAAAAAATGATTGATTCAGTATGAGATAGCAGTTGAATTTATACAGCGCGTCTTTGTAGAACCAGATTTTGCGTGGAAAAACTTAAAATCATAAATTTCTTGTTAATAAAACCACACTACGGGTGCTCGGTTCAGAAAAAATTTCAGATTACATTTCAGATAATTTTCTTTTTTTATTTAAATATATTTTGGTCTTTTTACTTGACGATTTTCAGGAAGTGAAAAATTCGATGAAAAAAATTGAAAAACTAAGAAAATGTCGTCGGTGGAAAAAATTGATATAATTTCGAGCTAAATGCTTGGAAGCTTTTTTAATTTCTGTTACCCCATTCTGAACCTATTCAAAATCCTTAAAAACACACATTATCGGGCCAAACTGTGTAACTTGTGAACTGTAAGCGGATTATGCAACAAGCCGAAATTAGATTTGGCATAATATCCGCGACATTGTTAGTTTTCATTTTTTTTAATGTTCTGTGCTGTTTTGGACTCCACGGAAAACGAGTGTTGTAACTCGTTTTCCGTGGAGTTCCAAACAGCACAGTTACAACACTGTACTGCCCAAAATTGCGCAAAAACGGGTGGGTTGGTGAATACGCAACAAATGTTGCGGTATCAGCAACAAATTTCACGGAATCCGCATCAGGTTTTGTAACCATTAAATAAGTCATAATACATTTTTACGAAAAAATAACGTTGTCACGGAATCAGCAACTATAGGCGAAAACCACTAGTGGCAAGCAAAATCCGCAAAATAAAAGCGGAATGCGCCAAATTTAAATGGAATCTGCGAAATCAGCTTACAATTGCGGAATTATACCTCAGACTGCGAAATCCGCTTACGTTTGCAAAATTCAGACCAACTAGCTGTTTTTCTGGCGTTCAGTGACTTTCATACACCAAATTGTGCGCCAACCCAGTTCATAGTTTGGCCTCGTACTGTATAGTTTCTCGGCCGCGCTTGACTTTGATATGTTCTTTATACGATTCACTAATTTTGGAGCATATTTAGTATTTTTTATATTACTTGAACTATTGAAAATCTAGCATTTTGTTCTGATAAAAACACTAGTATCACAGAATTTAGAACAGTTTCAATTTAACCTAATTAAAACACTCATTTCACTAATTTGTGCAAACTTCAAACTAACTTCAAACTATAAAGTAGCGAGGAATATGATTCAGTTTACCCAGTCCTCACGTTCATTTTTTTCTTTAATTGTATATGTCATGATTGATCTATTGAAACTGTGTATCCTGTGAAAAAAGACTGGTTTCAAGATAAATGTTTTCAAATTGCCACAAAAAAGTTGCCAGTTCAGTTCTTTACTTAAACGAAAACTTTTCAAAAAAATTATTTGTTGCATGCAGGTTTGATAAAATAAGATGAAATATATCAAGAACTAGCTCTGAAATAATGATAAAATCTATTCTTTCAACTTCTTGAAAATGGCACGAAAATTTTTTGCTATAGTTTTTTTTCGCCATTGTATACTATGCATGATTTTAAAGCAATTGGAATTGATCAGAAAATTAAATCAGGTTCCGCTGAAACTAACAATTTTAATTTGGAGAAAACTTTTTGAGAATTTTGAATCAATTGTATTCCAGTAACTCTTAGTTCCCAAAAATGTTTTCTTCAAATTTAGATTTTCGCGATCACTGGAACCTGAATTTTAATTTCTGATCAATACCAGAAATTTCAACAATTTTTAAAATCACGCAGAGTATAAGATAGCAAAAAAACTATAGCAAAACTTTTTAGAGCCAATTTTAAGAACTTTAGAGTTTCTATATATTTCTTGATTTATTTCATCTTATTTATCAAACCTACACAGTTAAACACGATATGCAGTTTTATTAATATATTGCCTAGATCAATCATGGCAGATAAACAAAAGAAGAAAAGAAATAATTGAGCGTGATGACACGATAAGTCGACACATTTGCCACACTACTTTATAGTTTAAGAAATATTCAAATATTCATGCTGTGATATCAAAGTTTGCACAAATTACTGAATTGTAATTTTTATTCGGGCTAAGTTTATCTAAAAATTTGTGTTTTTTTAGGCCATCGTGCTAGATTTTCAATGGTTTTCAGCATTACTAAATTATTGTTGAAAATTCTAAATAGTTTTCTCAACACGAAAATTCCGAACGCTTAGAACATTCCTTTTCCTGCTACTGAAAGTGTTTTGTATTTGCTAAAATGTAAAAACAAGTTAGTGTTGGGCAGGGGCGGATCTAGGATTTTCTCGAGGGGGGGGCGGATTTTCAAAAAAAAATTGGAAAATTTTGACGACCTTTTTTTTTAGGTCGACCAAATAGATTTTTCGAGCTCTCCCTAAGCACTGTTTTGCCCCTATTTTGGCTAAATTTTGTGCGCCGCAGGCAAATTTTTGAAAAACAGTCAAAAAAGCCGTTTTTGGGCACTTTTTGAAAAATTTTGACAAAAAAAAACGCGTTTTTTTGGCGCGCGCTCCCCCTCATAGTTAGTACATATTGGCGCCATAAGCGCTTTTAGACAAATTTTAGGGTCGGTCGGCCAAAAATGGATGTCTGAAAAAGTATCAAAGGGGGGACCCTTTGGGTCGGCAGGGTGTGGAGTCCCATTTTTTTTGGTTTTTTTTTGAGTGAAATAACAAGAATATTGTCGGCTTGTGATGAAGACTAAGCACAAACAAATTCAAGAGTTCAAGAGCAATTATTTTGTTTTCCTAAGATACAATTTCTTAGTTTTTTTTGTGGAGAGTTTAAACTTTGATCCTTTTGGCTTTTAAAACAGTGGGCTCTTCTCCACAATTTTTCCTTTAAAAATTTTGTCATGGTTTTTATGCTATTAAATTTTTGCTTGTTTGTTAGAACAACTAATCTGAAAGCTGTTTTTTTCTATTTTGTTACAAGAATTTCCTTATTTATGCCCAATTGATGCTTAAGGTGCCTTAAAAGAGCTGACAATATGTATTTGGTCGAAACTTATGAAGTTTTTCTGAATCAACTAAAAACACTGGATTCATACATGCTAAAATGCTTAGATAAAAACTTGCATAAAATTGTAATTACGTCTATGCCGTTTAAAGTAGGGGTAGAAGAAAACACCGTTTTTTTCAGTAGTGGGCTGTAGGCTGTGGAGGCGAGTATGGTTGCCATTTTTTCCCGTTCAACACTAGTTGCCCAAGTTTTTCTACTTTGGTACTACTTAACGACCAGCGTTTTTGACTAGACAACCCGTAAGAAAACCTTATTGACGTCAATATCAAATAACTTTATGGACAGGTGCCTGCCGTTAAAATGTAATTTTTGGTCAAAACTAATCAAAAATGGCCCAACAACAAAATTTTCTGAATTTTTTTTTCAACAAGTTTTGTGCAGCGCAGAAAAAGTTAAAAATTATTTAAAAAAATAGGTTCTTTATAGTTTTTCTGGAGGAAAAATCAATCGAAAAGTTCATTCTTAGTTTGTCATATGGCACGTCATATGACATTGGAAAGTTGGAAAAATCAATCGAAAAGTTCATTCTTAGTTTGTCATATGGCACGTCAAAAGAGCTTAAAAAAATTGCATTGGATCAAAATTTTTGGTCCATTAGTGCTGAAATGATTGTGTGAAACCTTACTTTAGTTTGTTATTACGCACAAGGCTATCGAAATGGATTTTGACCAATGTGTCAGTAGCGTGCCGTGGGCGGTGATGAATATGGTTGCTACCTTGTTCCTCCGAAAGTCTTACCTTTGGTCCTATTTACGTCATCCATTTTTTGCTAAGCAACCCTTAAATTTTCATGAAAGCAACTTTGGCGCCATTATATAATTTTGAGAGCGTTTTTTCGGCAGACGTTTTTTTGTAAATTCGTCTCCCCACTTCTGTTTTAATTTTCTCTTTTCAGCACTGGTTTGACAACTACCTAGTGTGGGATCCAAAAGACTATGAGGGCCTGGATAAGATAACCATCATGCCCAAACACATCTGGCTGCCTGACATAGTCGTATACAACAAGTACGTCAATAAACTAAGTTGCATTAAATTCACATTTTTTTTCGATATATGAAAGGCTATTTAGTAATAATGTTGATGTCCTAAGCTGCAATTGAATGCGTCGACATGACGTGAGCCTAATTTATTAATCCTTTTTTCTATTTAAACTAACGTATAAACAATTTTTGAGCAAATTTATTATTTAAATTTTGAGAGGGTTGGGAAACTGGAAAAATACCGGGAGGTTTTGGGAACCAAAACAACCAAGGCAGGGTATAAAATACGCAGTAGTTAATTGATGGTATATTTTTGTAGACGCCGTCGATTTCTATTCACTTGAGGATTTCAAACTCTAAATGTGATTCGCTGTAATTTTTGAATAAGTTTTTTTCTGGTTTGTCCGATTTAATCTGCAAACCCTATCTAAAACAGCAACAGAAAATGGAACAACGGGGAAAAATTTGGAATAACCTAGTATTACTTAATTACTAGAAGTAATAACAAACTACTATAGTAGACAGCTGTAGACGCTATATAAAGATCGGTTAAGAGCAAAAAGTAGACAGTCATGGAGTAGACACGACGGAAATCAATCATAATTGATAAACGAAAATGTTTTTTACGTTTGTTTTCTTATCCCGTATTGGCTTGCGACGTGTCTATTCTGTCCCGCTCTAGACTTTCATGGAAAATATTATATTGGGATTTTATTGCTTAAAAAGTAGTATCATTATAATCTATTTTTAATCGATTATAATCGATTATTTTTGTAATTTTATAGAGACTGACAATGAAAATCCAAAATAATAGATTATTATCCACGAAACTCCAGTGCGGGGTGACATGTCTACCTTTTGACCGCACTCCGTAGAAATTGTTTCTTTTGATTTTGTAGTGTTATCCAAGTGAAAGTGGAGAAGGACGGTGTGATCCCGGTGTCAATCAATGCCTCGGGCTACGTCAAGTGGGATACACCCGTCATATACGTCACGACATGCACCATACACATCAAGTGAGAGCTAGAAACTCTTTTTGGAGGAACCATTTATGCCATAGAAAAGCTGATCGCCCGAATGTTATGATAGCCAAAATTTGTATGAAAAGTACTTAATTTTCAACAAGCCGAAATTCAATTTGGAAACCATAGCATGTTAATATTAAATAAGTTTATTTGCAAAATCAGTCAACTTTGATAAGTTTCACGCTGATTGGCTGAAATTTTTTGATAATTTGATTCTTCTGCCATAAAACTTGCCCCTTCTTAATTTTTTTAATCTCAAGCTATGAACAATTGTCGGTTTATCTTGGAAAAATCATATCAAAAAAAACTCTTGGGAAAATAATGTCAAAAAACAATATCTTAAATAAAATCTAACAAGACTGCTCGTATCAGGGCGAAGCCCTGACTGTTCCGACTGTCTTTTAAGGTTTATGAAGCAGTAATAAAATAAATATCATTAACAAATTAAATGTAAAAAAAATTAAAAAAATTTTTTCTAAAATTTGAAATTTTTTCCATGAAAATCATCCCCCCCCACACGCCATATAAACTACAAAAGAATAGATTTAGCTCCTTGCAACAAATCAATTAAGGCAAATAAGCTTCTTACAACCAATTTGAAACGATTTCTAAGACGGATTAGCTCTTCGCTTACGCGTTAATAGCGCGAAATATATCGCGCGTTAATTGTCCCAAATTGGCCAAAATGGCAATCTTTAAACCCCCATAAGTTTACGAAAAATGATCACAGGTGAAATATCGTTTCAAAATTAAGCTCAGGACAACAATACCTTTTGAATGATATCAAAAAATTCCGTCAAAAATGGCTAGTTAAAAAGTCGAAATTTTTCTGAAGAAAAAAAAACCCACCCCGAGCACAAATATTCCGTTACTTTCGTATCGAAAGTCGGAACAAAAAAAGTTTTTCTAGTGATCTGAAAAAATATGGAACTCTCGTAAAAGGTTTTTAATGCTGCAAAAATTCCCCAGAAATATTTTCAGTGTAAGTTTTGTATGAATCGTATAATCTAAACAAAATTATTTTAAATTTCAGGCACTTCCCTTATGACGCTCAGGTGTGCACTTTGAAGTTCGGCTCATGGATCAACACGGCAAACGAAATTACCATACAAAATAATCGTGGACACCTCGACACAGCGTAATTCACTGTTCATTTTTTAGACACCGTACAATGATTCGCTATTTTCATGGTGTTACATTTAGGGCGATTTAGGTGGGGAGGTTACCCCTTCCCCTTTCCACAGAGATTTACCTCAATTACCTCCTAATAATATTTTTTGCCGGCTGGCTAAATCTCAAATTTTTCTAGAAAATTTTGGGCGCCAATAATCTTTAAATTTGAGAGGGGAGACCTTTTTCCCATATAGGACACAAATTGGTGATTAGTTGATAATTATGGCCCTTTTTATTGCTCATTTTGGCATAAAAAATCTCCTAGGGCGTAAAATTGTTTTGCAAACGAGGTTCTCTTTTGTTCGATTTGGGAGCTCGAAAAACCAGCTTGCTTGAGCTAAATCAAAGGTCCATAAAATTTTAGGCAATGTCTGAAAAACATGCTCTTTCACTCTTTCGCCCGAGAAAATTCTAGATCCTAACCTTATTTTATTTCAAAAACCTAAAAGCAAACTTTTTTTTCAAAAGATAGGAGAAAAAATAGTAGCAAAGCAGTTTCTACAAAAATGGAGAAAAAGCCCCTTTTAACGTCTTATATTATATTATAAGAGTCAACTTCATATATGAACAAAAATTATTTGAGAAATAATTTCACTAAAGAATGAAATCAAATCGAATCAATTATCCGAATTTTTAATCAAAATTTTGCTTCTCTTAATACCCTTGTCCGAAGTTTGAAGCTAACCACAAAATTTTAGTTGCCAGACTAGCAGAAATGTTTTTCCGATATTTTCTGATTGGAAAGTTTTCACCAACATTATAAATTTACTTTGTTTTTGAAGTTTCTCAATTTCATGCGCTCTGCATTAGTCTATTTGACGCCCATGAGTGTTCGCAGAACTCCACCTCTGGCTTATTATTCCTACTTACGTACCCTTCTTTCTCCTGAGGACCATTAAACTGTACAATCAAGTTGTCTAATCTATCACGTTTTTTGCTAAAAATTAAAAGTTTCATTAACATGATTGGTTAAATTTTGAGTTTTTTCTACTTTCAACTGCAAAAATAAAGACTTGTTTTCTCGAATTTCATTTTTGTAAAGATTTTGATCAAAAACTGATTTTGGGTGTTTTCTTGTTTCAATGATTTTCACAATGATTGTTTTTCTACCTTTGAGGACTCATCAATGTAAGTAGAATTTTCAACAGTTCTAAAAGTTTGTTATTCTGATTCTTGAAACTATGTGTCAAACAAACATTTAAAGTGTCGCCATTTTCATTAAACTCTTCAAATGCTTGTCCATTTTTATGAAAAAAAGTTGTTAATCAAACTGTGATCAATTGTTCTCTAATCAAAATGTTGGTTGAACTTTTATCAGTGACCAAAAATTTTTTTTGCTGAGTTACAAATCTAACTATTGTAAGGAATCAAAACATTTTTTATAATCGAATCCTAAAAATTGATATCAATTCTTTTAAAGCCAAAAGCATCCATCTTTGATTGATCTGACTTCCTCTTTTTGCGCTATCCGAAAACTTTGGTTGCCAAATCATTGATTGCTTAGTTTTATTCTTCTAACTTCTACTATTACTTTCAAAATATGTCAATTTTTTGTTAATTGCACTCAAATTTTTAGAAAATCTCATAATTGTAACAATTTGCAAAACTGTTTAGGCAAGAAACATTTTAAGAATTAATGAAATAAGCTGTTTGTTTATTTAAGTCATCGCCAATTCCGCTAAGTCGTGCAGAAATTTTTCAATTTTTGAGATATAATTAATCAATTTTTCTTTAATTTTCGAATGAATGAGGATACTTAAACAAATAGCTGCTGTGATCTAGATTTATCATCAGCTTAATATGCTTTACACAAAGCTCTAAAGCCATATTTTTTCTTTTGTGGCCTTAAAAGCAAATTTGACCCGTAAACAATTTTACCGGAACAATTAATTTAAATCCCATAAAAATAATTTAATCAAAAGTTTAGTCAAAGCTGAAGCTGAAATACTGAGCCACAGTTGGAGCAACTCAGGTTCTATTTGCAAACAATTAGAACAAACAACTTATTGTGATATATTCGCGTCATATCGGAGTCAAAGTGCGGTCTGGATTTAGACAACTGCGTAAATATTCTCGTCAGTAATCAGACAAATACTATATTAAACAATCCGAATTGAGATGAGAAAGCAAACTTACTGAATAGATATCTATCAATAATATTTTCCTTGTCTCGATTCTGATTGGTTAAAACAGTATTTGTCTGCTTACTGACGAGTATAAATACGCTGTTGTCTCAAAACCGCTATGTAACCATCACAGTCATATCCCAGTGAGTGTGGTTTCTGGGGCTAGGTTTTTAGCAGACCTGTTTTTCAGCAGACCGATTTTTTTAGCAGACTCAAAACAATTTAACGGTCAGAACGCTAACTTCAAACGAGGAACTGGCAAGTACATTGCCTAAGTACGTTGACTAAGTGGTTTTGCTGAGAGATATTTGTTAAACTGTGAGATAATTGTCTGAATCAGGAAAACTCAACCCCAGATAACTTGCCATTTTACTTCAGTCAATCAATTTTGTGTCAATTTTTGCTGCCTCCACAAAGTTGTCACTCAAAGTTTGCTAAAAGACCTTAATTTCACTTTTATGCTGAAAAACCTGTCTGCTAAAAAACCACTCCGGGTGGTTTCTACAAAATAAGAACTCAATGCTATAAAAAAAATGTATCAAGGTTTAGCGACTGAATTATAATTATCTAACAGATTGGACTACCGTTGGTAAACATATAAAGTGCCTTTTTTGAGTTTTTTTGGTGGAACTCAGTTTTTTGTTATTAGTTGGTATTTGCTTTTATGATAGTTATTTTCGATTTTTTATAGTCTTAGTATTCTCTTGATACATATTTTCAAGTAAAATAGGATGGATTATAGGTTGGACTGTGGCAAATAAAAGGTACTAAAGAATAAGAAAACAGAAGTGGCGGTGCGAAAAAAAACAGAGATGGTCTTCGGAGATGCCCATTCTTCGAAAAAATCATCATTAGCAGAAGATATACCTTATTTCGCATGCTGGAAGACACTAGAAATTTAGTTATTAATTATTTTGATTTTGCTGCTTGATATGCAGTAAGGTACCGAATCAGGTAATAAAACCATCCCAGCATTGGAGCGTATAAAAATAAAAAATTATTAGTTTGGAATACATAAACTTTCCTGTTTCTTGAAAAATGCGTTTTTTCTTTGTTACACAGCTTGCTCCTTTTTCATGTTTAATTTTTTTCAGTATTATGATAAAATTGTTTTATTGAAGTTATATCTACTAGTTTTGTGAACATAGATGTTTCTCTTTTCAGGTACTTCACGATTAATGGGGAATGGATGTTGGGGGAAACGCCATCGGTGAACAACAGAGTCGTGTATTCCGATGCCGCCTACACAGATGTGTTCATAGAAATGCACCTCGCTAGAAGACCTCTCTTCTACGAGAAAAATCTAGTCACACCAACCGCAATGATCAGGTAACGAGGATTGGTGGTGAAATTTCTTCTGAGTATTTCTTCCGCGTAGTTCAGCGTTTTCCTTGAAAAGCTGAACAACTCTCCGCTTGGCAAAGGACGGTCCTCATTTGCCTGAGAAAGAGAGATATTCTTAGCCAGTAGAAAAAACCAAAAAAAGCATGTTATTATTAATCATACCGACACAACAGCGTTTCTCCGAAAAGAGCTGAACAACCCGTATGTTAATCCTTTCCCTCATAGAATGAAAAAGTTATTTTTATCTTGCTTTTGTCAAAATTTTGAAAAACTATCTTGATTTCACTGAAACGCGCACAACTTGGAAATTTGAGCGGATTGACACTTTTCTGACCTCAATCCAAACATGTAATTAAAAGTTTGAAACAAGAAAAACAAACAGAAAATTAGTATTCGCCATTTTTTTTTTTGATAATTATACAACAAACGTGTTCGGAATTAGTGACATTTTGAAAGGAATCTGAAACAAATACTTATGTTGACCAAGTTTTTAAAATTAGGCTAGTTTATTTAACCTAAAAGGGCAATGAGATTTATACAATTTTTCAATGACCACCCATTGTTGAAATTCGAAAGAACTTTCACTAGAAATGGTTTGTTTTCATGGCTGTCTATGTCAATTTGAAAACTTGTTGATTGTTTTGACCGCTCTCGAAAAGTGGAAAGTAACAAATGATTCAATTCCATTTATTAAAATTAATTAATTTCCAGTCGGTTTGACTAGCACAAGGTTAACCCGTGAAAATTGCTTCTTTTTTGGTCCCTATTGGTCGTGATTCTGATTCTTAAAATTCAAAAAAAAATTGCCAAGAAAAACTGGCTTAAATGCTTTCAATTTTCAGGCTTAATTAGTCAACACTTGGAAATCAAAAGGTTGACTTCTCAATTTTAATTATATCAAAAATTAAAAGCTATGCATTACCGCTTTTTTACACGATAAATACCCATTTTTTCTGTTTTGTAAGTCAATCAATTGCATTTTCTGAAAAAAAAAACAACAGCAAAGTTAGACAACAAATTGTACCAAATATTTAACAATATTTTTTTTCTTTTAGCAAATTGTCTCCATATCAATTTTTTTTTCTGAAGTGAATTTAGTTGGAAGATTTTAAAATACTTGCATGGCAACCGGCTTCCTATGTTTGGTCAAAAAATTCGTTAACTTTTTGAAATCTACTTGAGTTAATTTTTTTTAAATAGGGTTTTTTACCGAGAAAACAAAGATATTGCAAGCAGTTTTTTTTTAAATATAATTGTTTTCTTAATAAATTAAAGGCTGATTGTACGTCTCACTAATTTTTAAAATACTGTTAAAATATAGTTAATATAAATTTTGGGATGTTTGCACTGTTGGACGTTTGCATGGTTTTAAACTACCTTAATTTCTTCGTGTACTATGCTTGAAGCTTCAAGATTTTCTGGGATTTTTATATTGTAACTCTCAAAACAAGGCTTTAGAATTTTTGAAAATTTTATTTTGATTTAAATGTAATTGGTTAGAACTAACTGACTCAAAAAAATTTTTAAACCCTAGTTTTACTTTGGAAAAAAAATTAAACCAACTAGTTTAGTTTGTTTTAGTCTTCTGGCATCTTTGACATTCATGCTGCCGCCGGAAAGTGGGGAGAAGATAGGTCTGGCCATCACTGTGTTCCTGGCACTCTGTGTGAACCTGATACTTGTCAGTGAAATGATGCCAGCCACCTCTCTCGAGACACCAATCATAGGCATGAACATTTTTTAGCAGGGGGTATCGAAAACAGCCATCGACAAAACCCCAAATTTTTTTGATCCCATATTTTTTGATTTTTTTTTCAGAAAAACGAACCAACAAAATCTGAGATTTTCAATTAAGGGGATAGAACGGGTTGTGGGAAGCTCCCCTGCATAAGCGTATACACCAAAGTTGTTTAACGCAAAAAGTTATAGCCTTCAGAAAATTCAAACCTTCAACTTTGTTAACATTATTTTGAAGTTTTTTAACTTATCTCGGGATCTACCCTCTCAAACCTGAGATTGTGATTTCAATCAAAAAAATTGTTGTGGGACGGTTGCTTGCCGACGTGACGATGCCTATAATTCTATACAACCAAAGTAATGGCCTTCGGAAAAGTCGGATTTTTAATTTTTGTCCCTTTTTTGAATTTTTTTGACTTTTCCCGGAAACTACCTTCCCAAATTTGAGATTTTGAAATCAATCAAAAGAACAACTTGCGGAAAATTTCCCTGTATACGTAGCTCCACACGGTTTTTTGCACGCAACATTTTTTTTACACCATGTCATATCCAGATGGATCTTCATCTCGTTCTTACCAGTTTCTCAAATTCAACCTAAACAGTGTCGAGCGGGCGACCAAACGATCTCGCTGTTACTTCCGGAAGAGTAGCTAAAAACAATTATAATACAGAAGGGTATTTATGAAAATTACACGTAGCCAAAAGCGATATCTCCAAAAACTGATACACGAAACGCAGCTGCATCGCACACATTTTCGTATGTCGCGTAGAGTATGAGTAAAATCATGCAAAGTACTCCCGCACTAACGAGGTTGCTTGTGTATGATGGCGAAACCCTGAACGCTCTGATTGCCCCTAAACTTTGCACGAGAGAAATTTTAAATTTTAATCTGCAAATATTTTAAATATCAAATGGAGAAATTTGAGTCGTTCTTAGAATTGATATGACAAATTGGTGTGTTTCATTTCAATTGGTCACGATAAAAGCGGCATAAATCGCCACGCATAAAAAATCGCGAACTGAAATTATGATTTATAAAAACAAACAGTCCTCAACCGCACTTAGGCTAGTTCAAGCACGCACACTCGGAAACTTTAGGATTCAGTATCAGTGTTTGTGCTCGGGATGGTTTTTTTTTCAAAACAAATTTCTTGAAATTTTTGACGGATTTTCTAAAAACGTTTGAAAGGCATTGTTGTCGTGAGCTCAAAATCAAAAAGATATTTCTCTTGTGATTGTTTTTTGCTAAGTTTTGGGGGTTTAACTGCTGCCAATTTGGGACAATTAACGCGCGATATATTTAGTGTTATTACCGCGTCAGCGGATATTTAATCTGTCTTCGAAATCGTTCCAAATTGAATTGAGGCATACTATTTGGTCCAATTATTATTTTTGTAAAAACTGAAGTTTTTTAAGTTCGTTAAAGCAAACACTACTCCATAACCATAGACTTTAGAGGCAGTCGGAACAATCAGGGCTTCGCTCGGATACGAGTAGTCTTGTTCCCGTTTGATGTCAATTTTTTTGTCAAATTGGTCTGAATTGAATAAAAACGACCCCAAGCATATATTTTCCTCGCTATCTTCGCGCTACACGTAAGCGTGATATTTGGCCGAAAAGTATTTTGCCTAAAAACAATCTGCTTATGCCATTTATTGCAGAGTTTTAAAGATAAAAACAGGAGCGAAAGACAGGGTCATTGGATGTTTTAATCATTTCAGCCCTTTAAACACAAACTTAGACGATTCTTGCAGGACAAAGATTTTTGATCGATTTAGCTACTAGTTTTATGGCTCTTTTTTGTTGATTGTTTGTTTGTTTGTTTATAGGTCAGTACTACCTGATGGCCATCAGTATGGTCGCAGTGTCCCTGGTAATGACAGTGGTGGTGCTCAACTTCCACAACCCACATCCCAATGCACTCCCCCCTCCAAGATGGGTGAGTCATCCTTCAGGTCTAACTTTTACAGGATTTAACTACATTACAAAAAAATACAAAATAAAATATGTTGACCAACATTCCGTAATATAAACACTGAGCATTGCAACAGTTGTCAAAGTTAATTTTACCGAAAACCAAATCGAAAAACACTTTTAATAATCGAGCCTAACGAACCAAACCAATATTGAGAATTCTTACTGAGAAAGTCGATTGTTAGTCGTCATTCTCTTATGTATACATACTCAGAACTAAGGGGGCCGGGAAAATTAGACGAAAAGCAAGTTAGACGTGACCAAAAAAAAACGAATTTAGACGTCGATGCAAATTAGAAATATGGGAAATTAGACGTAATTGTATTGTATTGTTCGTGTCTGAAATTTGTTTACTGATGACTACCCTAGTTGATCAAGGGAGGTTATCTTGCAAGATTTTGCCCGACCCTTGCAAGATTCTTTTAACGAAGATGCATCTCTTTAAAAGATCTTGCCTGATTCTTGCAAGATCTTGCAAGACAACCTCTTTAAAAGATCTTAAAAGACATGATTTTTTGTGGAAACAATTTTTACACAAGAAGACAAGTGAAACTTTTTTTGCCAGTAGGCACTTTTCAGTAGCAAGAAGAAACAATTAAATACTTGAACACATCAACTTTGAAACGAAAAATATAACCTCATAATAAGATGAACAGAAATTTTTATCGGATTTATGTGAACACAACATACAAAATATCTCAAGATAATTGACTATTCATCAAAATTTTGACAAAAAAAAATTAAAAAATTGAAATGTAACCGCTAGAGTTGCAAAACTTGATGAAAAATTCCAGTAAAATAAAAAAAAAAAACGTTTTTAAAATTTTAACTTGAAATGCATAAATTCTAACGACAATCTGAAACTATTCACACTGCAAAAAATGAAAGATCAAAATTATATGAGCCTTTTTTTATAAAATTTGTCTAAACTTATTTTTTCCGAGCTCAAAACTCAGAGTTTTTTTGTGACGGTAGTCGCATTGGATCTCCATAGTTTTTCAGGCTCTCAAAATAAGGTTTTGTGAAAATTTCGTAATTGGTTATCTTTCAAGATCTTGCAAGAATCTTGCAAGATAACCTCCATCTTGCAAGATCATGCAAGATAAACCTCATTTACAACAATCTTGCAAGATCTTGCAAGATAACCCTCCTTGATCGATTAGAGTACAATTAACTTTCGTTCGAGCTTTTTTAAATGCAAATCAATTTTTCACATGCCACAAATTTTACATGCCACAATTGTTTAAATTATGCATTTCAAATTTTTTTTCATTAAATTGAGATTAAAGTTTTAAGAATCGATTGTGATAAATACTTTGATATGCAATGGGATCATATACTATTTTTCTAATTATGAAAACTTGTTTTGGACAATACTTTTTGTTAGCCCCTTGCTTTCTGTCTAAAATGCTAATTTTGCAAAAATAGTTTAACGTTTGAATTTCGTTTTATTGAATCCGTCTAATTTGCTTATCGTCTAATTTCCTAGTCTCCCAGAAATAGGTATAAAATTAAACAACACAGTAGTTGTTGATCCCGCGTTGACTTGACTGTTCGTGAAAAATCAGCTCTAATCCAGGTGTATGGGAATATTATCCAATAGTATGGGAATCGAAATGTTAAAACCTTCTTTTTTTCAAATTGGTAGTAATGTTGCGAAAAATGGTGAAATGAGACACAAAGAAGAGAAAATCTTCGAACAGTATTACATGGGAATAATCAAAAATGGAAAAATTCACGAAAGTTGCTTAAAACTCTTTTCCGATGTTTTTATTGGTGACCGATCGACTAACATAAAGCTCGACTGGCATAAAAAGTTGAAATCATGAAAATGTATCGACTAGCATTAATTTGATAGCTTTTTCTGAGAAATACAAAAAACCCATCATAATTTGTTCAAATTGAACCAAATTTGCATTTATTTTATGAGCAAAAGAAAGTTGAGCAAATGAGAAATTAGGCAATCAATTAGCAAAATAAAAGGGTCAATTTAACAATCATACACCAACACCCCTCCCCCGTCCCCCCACCCTAACATACGACCACCCCCCAAAAATTCCCCCTCAAGAAAGCTAATTTAATATATTTCTTTATAGGGGTAGATTAAACTAATTTGATCGATCAATTCAACATCCTCCGCCCTCCCCCCCCCCCCCTCCTACTAAATAGACCAAGTTAAGATCCTCCAACCCAGCTATCAATGTAAATTAAATTTACTTAGCGCTGCATGTAAAATGCTCTTTTCTGATCGGCCGAGAATTCAAACTCAAGGCAGAGTTAAAATCCTCCCCCCTGAACGTTTTTGGGAGGGAGGGGGGGGGGTGGGTTCAGGGGAGGATGTTACCTTGGTTAAATTTAATTTATGAGTTCGTTCGAAATGCATATTTTAAACAAAATTCGTTTTCAAAATTACATCTTGGCTAAGGGGGATATTCTACGGTACGTCACTTGGAGGAGGGGGGGGACAGGGCTGGGTTTAAAACTATCATATGCTTAACCGCCGATTTAATTCTTTACAGAGGGATTTTCGTTACTAGGTACCCGAGGGGCGATATTGTTAAAGAGATCCTGGAATTATATGGTTGATCAATTTTTTGTGTACAATCGTTTAGTTTTGCCGGTATTTGTTTCACTTGCGAGAGCAAAGGACTTGTTTTAATTTTCTGTTTGGATTTTTATGCTAGTCGATGCAGTTTTCAATTTTAAAACTTATATGCTAGTCGAGTTTTATGCTAGTCGATACACCGACGTTTTTATTAGGTTTTTTTAAAGAGACAAAACAGCGTTAAATTAAGCGTCGAAAACTGGGTTCTGTGATAAAATGAAGTTTTTCGCTGTTTTCATTAACAACTTTCCTTACTCTCTCCAAATTAGACTAAAAAAAATTACACTTATTTTTCTCAACACACCTAGTAAATTTTTTGGTCTTTTTTGTGGTTTGAACTTCAAATGAATAAATTTTCTGCATTAACATGATAAATCACTACACTCATTTTGATATTTGTTTGAGCTACTTAATATAGCGTTGGAAAAATCAAAAAAGCTAAAACAAAATTAGACAAATTCTATCCCCACGTTCAGCGATAAGAATTGTGATTTTTTTCTTCAAAAATTTCGTGTGTAATTATGACAATACATTATGTGAGTAATTATGACAATGCCCGACCTCGAAAAACGTGATTTAATTATTAGCGCGCTATTCCATTTAGATTTTGAAGTTGTTCAGCAAGTATTTGGCGCCGCTCGTGTTCCTAAGCCGGGTAACGAAAGAAGACGGACTCCAGCAACCCAAAAAAGCCAAGGCTCATCTCAAAAATCGACGCCCCTCCCCCAGAACTCACAAAACCGGAGGAGCAGGAGGGGAAAACGTCGATTACATAACAGTTGACAAGGAAGACCACGGCCATTTGTCCACTTTTCAAGACAAAAACGGGCAAAATTCGCAGGTCGAAATGAAGGTCAGTTGCTCAGAGCCTAGGGAAGGCCACGTCGACACGCACCCGGCACTCGGTGCTCTGGACGATAAAATTTCGGAGCTGATCGAGCGACTCGTTGGAGAAGACGGCGACGCTCAAGCCGCCCAAGAATGGCAGTATGTGACCCGAATCATCGATCGACTTCTAGCAGTGACTTTTTTCTCCGTTACAATCTTTCTGACGGCTTACTTAATCGGAAAAGCCAAAAATGTTCCCATTAATGTTACTGATGAAACCGGCAACCACTAACAATTTTAGCTTAACTCGCACATTTTTTATGTTGTTTCGATGATTGCAATGCTTGATTGATGTAATAAGTGTTTTTTGAATGAACAAATGCTTGAGTCGTGTTTACCGGAGAATTTTAAAATAAACACAAACAATTTACCATAAAAGTGTGCATGCGTTTTGTTTGTAATTTTCTCATCAAATATGTGTATATATATAACAAACAATTTTATCGAATCTAACTTGACTTCATCTGAATTAGATTTTTTGAAATTGCAGTAAAGGCTTCGTTAAATTAGCATGATGTTGCTCTTTTAAAAATGTGCCATGCAAAATACAAAAAATATATATATTTTATTGTATTTGTCTTCATAATTAATACTCACTTTGGTTGATATCCGGTTAAATGATCTATTTAGTTTAAGGGTTCCTGCTGTAGCAAAAGCCGGTATGTTGCCAGGGTTGACAGCGGGTTTATACTAGTTACTCGCTTTTACAAAAATGTGTCGGCTCAAAAGTCATGGCTCAGTTCTTTTACGACCCAAGTATGTGACTATACATGCTTGACTGTTAATCGTGACGTTAATACTTTTTATAACAATCCTCATCCTTGCTCCCATAAAATTCCTCACCGTGCAACCCTGCCTATACCCTACACCTTGAATTTATCTAGCTCACCCAATTAACTCATTTATATTAATTATAATTTACGTGCTGACTGTGATATGATTCTTTCATCCAATTTAATCGAAAAGCCCATTTTTCATTTCTGTTTTCAGTTCTGAAGTTTTCCATTTTGGACAGGATAAGCTTAAGCGATCCAGCTCTCGATCAATAACAAAAATTTAAATTTCAACTCAAAACTCAAAATTTAAACTCCAGTGAGTGAATTAGTAAAACAGGCTACTCTTATCGGAGATCCGGGGCATATCTTAATCAAATATAACTATCCCATACCTGTCTGATAATCGCAAATGTCAGCTCGAATCTTACCCTCCATTGTTAACGGTCTAAAAAGGACGGCTCCTGAAGATGATATATATATGACATTTGCTTCCAAACTTCTCTCTCTCACATTTTAAGATTTCACTTCTTTTTCTAGAATTAAGGGACAAAAAACTTCCCTGAAATTAAGTGGTATAAATGATTAAAATTTTGACGCATGATAAGACAACTATGTGAGGGATCAAAGACTGAACGTCTTGAACAACTTAATCAAAACCTTGAAAAAGTCTTGAACAGGCTTTTTCCCTTGGCTTAGGAGCTCGAGCCCAAACCACCCTCAAACCCTCGTCCCTCACTCGTTGTAGTTTTTTATGACTTAATATTGGCCGATCAATCCTTTAAAAAGTTTCTAACGGCTCATTCAGAAACAGTATGAATTCATTTTAGAGCTTCTGGTACGTTTTTTTTGGAAGACGCCCAAAATCAGTTTTGGATCGAAATCATAAAAAAAAATGGGAAAAAATCGAGACAAATTCCACTTATTTGTGCAGTTACAAGTAGAAGAAACTCTAACTTTAACCGACCGTGTAAATGAACATAATAATCTTTAGCAATGATGTAAAAGAAACAACTGGATTAGATGGGCCAATGAGCCTCTACAAAGATGAGTGATTCTTTACAAGAGAAAGAAGGGTACGTAGGTAAAGAAAAAAAACATATTGCAGAGAAGGAAACTCTGCGAACCTTCATCGGCGTCAATTAGACTACTGCAGAGTATATTATATGGGTTTGGAAAAATTAAATCTATATTGTTGAAGAAAAATTTCCAATCAGAAAAATTTCGAAAAACTTACGGAAAACAGCGCAAAAGACGTATTTTTATTACCTCTGTGTAATTTAAATAATCAGAAAAAAAATTTTTTTAGCTACGATTATATGACGCGCTTTTATGTTCATATTAAACTGTAATAATAAGATGAGCTAAAAATTTGAGAAAAAGGCGACATTTTTGATCATTTTTTAAAGTTTTTTGGGTCGTAAAATAGCCCAAAAAAAGCTTGAGAGTTTTGCAATTTCTGTTGGAATGAGATACAAAAAGTGAATGTAATTTTGACTGTTTTACCTGAGAACTTACTTTTACATGGTGTTGTGAGTCCAAAATAAGTGGATGCTTTTGTGCAAATGATAAGTCTTTCGGCCTTATCAATCTGCCTCTTGCTCTCATCAACCCTTCTGCATTGATGATTGGATTCAATTTTTTGAGATGAGTTTGTTTTTTTCTCTGAAACTTTTTTGTTGAACACTGCTGAAGATAATTTTCGTAGCTTGCTGCTTCTATTCAGCTTTTTACTGAAGGTTTTGGGTTTCTCTTTCTGTTTTTTTTTCTCAATACGGTGTTTTGAGTTTGTTCAAAGTTACTAAACTTATGTCAATTGGCCATAGGTTCAAAAATTGAAACCTTTTACAAGTTTCTTCAATTACTTCTTCCACTTCAACATTTTGATGTTCAATTTTTCCTGCCATTCCTGTTCAATCTTTATCCAAGTTGGCCTGTATAACAAGGTATTCTTATATTTAGATCTGTGGCATTCATTTCTCCTTGAACATGTCTCGGCGTATTGGTCGTCGTGGTGTCAAGAATTATTGAAACACTATTTGCTACAATGATCGGCCACTTCTTTCCAGAACACAACCAATCTAGTACTGTGCTAAAATCTGATAACGTGTAGACTTTGCTCAAAGTGTTTCGATGTGTTTCCAGCATTTTGTCGTTCATTATTGTGGCTATCACGGCTGCTTGCAGCTCCAAATGCGGTATGCTTAGTTGTTTTTTTTGGCTAAACTCTCGTTTTTGCAACAACAAAAAATACATTTTAGTTTTATCTAGTTCTGATGCACAAAAGTAAGCAACCGCAAATAGGTTTTCAAGTGAAGCATCACCGAACACGTGGCGAATAATCTTTGTTGGAACGAAACTGAAGTAGTTTCTTGGGATTTCAATGTTTTTGATTTGTGTAAGTCGTTTTCTCCAAGACTCATACTCTTCAGCAATATCTCACCTTTTCTGGTTTATCCAGTTTGTGTAGATGGAAGACTGGATGATGGGGTAAATAGCACAATCTGGCATTCCCAGTGATCGATATGTCATTCTCAGACATTTCCTCAAGGAATCTTTTTCGGAGATTGGTTTTATCATGTCTTGTTACTTTGTTTTCAATTCAAGACCTAAATTTTTTGTAAAGACCTAAATTGCCCCAAGACACTTCCATAGTTGTTTGGAAAAATTTATTGATCTGGAAAATCCAGCTTCCCATCTAGCATCTTCAAATTGGTTAATAGGCTCTAGGGTTTGTGGATTTCTTTTTTTTCACTAGATAACGATTCAAGATTTTTCACTGATCCATTGCTTTCTATATACTATCAATTTGTGATGTTGTGAGCAAACTGCTCTTCTGTAGAACAGAAAAAAGATAGCGCTTTGCAATCATATGCTTCGTGTTGTCCCAATGGAATACTTAGTGACCATTCAAGAAGAATTTTTTCTCTCCTTGAACTTCTCTTGTTCAGAATTGTATTCTACTGGCCTTATCATATTGAAAATATCCTGAGCATTTATTGATTTCGCCTTATGCCTTACGCCTTAAAAGGAGGAGATTCTGTAACTCAAGGGAAGGAGTCTGGTGAAGCTCTTTGTTTATCTCAATTAGTACCTGGTCCTTAGCCTTACCCTTAAAGATAAAGTCTTTAAGAACGTTCAGAAGATTGTTGAACCTAAATTTTTCTCTATATCCTCAATTCCGTTTCGTCTATAGTATACGATCGCACAAATTCTTGTCCTATACCTTAATAACAAATTGACAAGTTGCTCAACTCAGCTTGCGGTTGCTGCTGCTGCGGTGCCTACTTATTGAGTTATTAATGGAGTCGTGAAAAATTACAAGGTCAGTACGGTGAGAAAAGTAAAAATGAAGATAGTACTGTATAGATTTTTGAGAGTCCCTATCGTTAACGTTCAAATTTACACCTGGTTTTGTGAAGCAAGTACCTTTGACGCGCTTCTGCGACAGAGCAGGAAGTTTGCGGAGCGCGTGATCCAAGGAACTAGCTCCTAGAATGAGTAAAATGCACTTAAGGGACCTATGTTAATGTGGCGGAAACGTTACGCTTAAGTACCAATGGGGTTTGAAAATTAAGAAGATCGGTTGAACTTCAACAACACACACGGAGTAAACCTGAGGATAAAAAAATTCAACTTAACCTACTTAATATCACAGTACTTGACCCCTTAACCTTTTAATCAAGAAACAAAGTCAATAATTGGACGGAAGCAAACGGCTCTGATACACTTGAAGCAACCTGGCTTTCTGTTTTACCAAATCTGGGTGACGCGGAAGAAACCTGAGGATGATAAAACTCAATTTAATTTGCCTGATATTTCACTACCGAACCACTTAAAATAAGGTTGGTTTTCACTACCGAATCACTTAAAATAATATTGGTCGTAAAATCTCACAGCACAGTTTCGCAGAATTTTGGGGAGGTTTGGAGGATTTTTTGGCAACTTTCTGTTTTTTTTTCACAAAATTTTTCAAAAAAGTTTTATCAGCGGTTTCGAATCAAAAACCAATCCAAAAACCAAGCCAGTACCTTTTGTCGATGAATTTTCTGTCCACATATACTCAAAGTTTTTGGTATCGAGAAAAAATGCTATGTAGCGATTGTAATATTTTTCAGTTCAATTGAACTGCCCAAAATTTTTGATGAGTGCAAAAAGTTACCGTGTGTTAGCTTGCGGAACTTTTTCGAACATATAGTATATCGTGTTTAAATTTATAGCACAACTGGAAAAGTGTAAATCTAGCCAGGTCTTACAGTTTTAATTGGAGATTGGGCGTCACCGGTTTCGGGTGTCAAAAGAACTGTCAGTGGAAGATAAATTGTGCAGCGATCCCTTCCCTAACTCCCACAAAACGTCTGTTGCTGACCTGACACTTGACAGCTTTGATCTGGGAAAAAGCTTCACTCGATAGCTGAACAGGCCTCTACCTCTCGATACCTGAAGAGGCCTCTACCCCTTGCTCCCTGAAAAGGCCTCAGTCCGCTTTTGGCTAGTTGCACTTTCCCGATCCACTGCACTCTGACGACTTGCAAAGGCTTCTAGCCAATTGCTCTCGACACCTCACTAGCTTCAGGGAGGGGGGGGGGAGATGGTAGGTGCAACTCGAGTTTTTTTGCTGTTGCATTAAAGCGGCAGAACCTACTCCATTCACCAAAGTTCAAATTCTGACGACCTTTTTGACGACCTTTTTTTTCAGGTCGATCAAATTGATTTTTGGAGCTCTCCCAAAGCACTGCTTTGCCCCTATTTTTGGCAAAATTTTGTGCGCCGCAGGCAAATTTTTAAAAAAACAGTCAAAAAAGCCGTTTTTGGGCACTTTTCGAAAAATTTTGACAAAAAATTGCGTTTTTTTGGCGCGCGCTCCCCCTCAAAGTTAGTATATATCGGCTCCAAAGTCGCCTTTAGAAAAATTTTAGGGTCGGTCGGCTGAAAATGGATTTCTGAAAAAGTATCAAAGGGGGGACCCTTTGGGTCGGCAGGGGGTCGAATCCCTGAGAGAGGGGGTGGGCGTCCGCCCCCCAAAACCCGCCCCTGCGTAGCGAATCACTTCGCCCCACTTCGGCAGGTGGTCGAATCCCTAAAGGGAGGCGTCTGCAGCCCCGCCCCCCCCCCCCCCTAAATCCGCCCCTGGTCCTACCTCTACTTCGTGTTCCCTGTCCCTTGTCGCGAAAGGAGAGACATCTGTG